TTGCTCCTTTGACATGCATAAGCAGCAGCCGAAGACAATACCTTTCGCGTTCTTTTGGCTGGACAAAATAGATTCTAGAGAGAACCTTCGTGCTATTGGTCCTGGCTCTCTCTCTCCATCTTCTACTGCGCTTGTCCCAGGTGTAGTGATAAGGCACATCAGGGTACAAATAGTATTCTGGTACCTTTATATTGCTTGCCGCTTCGGCATTGGCTGCATTTGTTGCTTCCTTCTGCCCTCGAAATTTCTTTCTCAATGGCACTATTGAGCTTGAACCATGCCATGAGCTGCGAGTCTTGGGCACAGGAGATGACTTGCTCGAGGTTAGCATCAGGACCGAAGACCACTTGCTGCTGATCCTCCAGATGGACAGGCAGTCGAACAACATTATGGGATTGCCCATGGAGCGCAAAGCCATACATACGCCATAAGCTCTCGCAAGTAGATACATATCGGCTATCCCTGTATTTGCTGACCTCATCGAGATTAACATTTCCTCCATCCGCTGCCAGCCACGACAGCAACTGATGCTCTATCATGACCCTTGTGCACGTATTTGTAAATATACTTGACTGATGACACTGATCCACAGACTTCAACGTTAATATGAGCGTTATATTTGGTTGTAAGCCATAAATTGTGAGGAACAACCCAAGTGTTGTCGACAGTGTTGCCTTTTGAGTTTACAAAGGAGCGTGCAGGATCATTACGTCGACGATAGTTCGGGTAGCCATCCTCGCTTCTTGCAGTATTTTCCAAAAATGAGCGTGGGTACTTTTTGCTGCAGCTCCCTTCCACCATGCATGGCGCTTTAGAATTATGGACCCCACATGGTCCATGTACCATGTGGGAAGTTACTGTCTCGTACGCAAGCGGGGCACTCTGTCGATCGGGGATCTCTGCAGACACAATAGAGTCAATGTCGTCTGCAGTCCGAGGCTTGCTTCCATCGTCAAGAATTATGAGGAGATGCTGATGCGGCAAACCACGTTTCTGGAACTCGACGACCCAATTGTAAGCAATAACTTTCCCTAGGACATCTTTCTTGAAGAGGTCATCCTCTAGAGCCTTCTTTTTGAGATTAAATACTCGTACGCAAAGGTCAGGCCAATCAGCTGCTGTTTGGCCTTCATAAAGAGCCTCCTGGATCTCTGGCCACTGGGGATTACATGTGAAGGTGATGAAGAGATCTGGCTTGCCAAACTTCCGAACCATGGCAATGGCATCTTGGAACAACTGTTGCATAAATCTGGGGCCTCCAACAAAGGAAGATGGTAAGATAATCCGCTTTCCAATATTCTCTGGCCTGAGATTGAGGTCAATTGCATCTATTATGCCGATATATGCATCCGCTTTGAGCTTAGCTTGATTCATACTGATATATAGGAGCCGAGAAGTTTCCAACTTGTAATATTGGTCGACAATATATTGGTGAGCCAAACGTGGAATCATCCAAATGTAGGATCGTTGATCTGTTGAGCTCATTGGGCGGATTTGCAGTCTATATGCATAGAACTCCCTTTGGCTGACGAACTCTCGGGTTTTTTTCGTCCGGCTCTCATGAGGTTCCATCTGGTCATCCTCAACATCCTCACCATCGCTTTCTCCAAGAGACCTTTCAGAGCCTAGCTCTGACCCGCTTTCCTTCTTATACTTGCCGTATGTCCACCCACACTCACCATTCGGATGCAAGAGAACGTAGTGAAGGCTGTCGTATGACGGATGAGTCTCGCTGATCTGCTGTAAACCGCCCCCTTTGTATTCAATAACTATATCCCTTCTTGAAACTTGGCTATCATCACCAGGCATCAAAACAGCGATTTCAGAGGACGAAGGGGGACCATATTGTCTCCGTCCTTGGCTCCTTAGGTCACGTTGGGACTCAGCACGGATGACGACCCTTAACTGAGTATCTTGACCATTGACACGCTCTTTAATGTTCTTGAGTAAACGGGCCATCGGGTGATGTCGTTCGAGAAGCTGTTGTAGCTCAATTAACAAACTGTTGCCGAGAGAACCTTCAAAGTACCCATTGCGAATTTTGGCCTGCTCTTCAGGGTCATGAATATGGCTGTGGATCTGTAAAAACTGAGGATCTACACCTTCAGACGGGCTCAGAGGGCCAATCAGGTGAGCGATACCTCCGATAATACGGAAAGTGTACACGCCTTGTTGGCTGTTTGCAAGGCTCCTGGCATGGTTTACTTTCATCGACGTAAAGGACAGAGCACAGTTGTATTGCCGTGCATTATTTCGAATGGCTTTGCTTCTCGCGTCTTGGCCACCAAAGACCTCTAAAAAGCGGCGCGGAATACCCTCCAGATGAGGGATTTTGACTTGACCTCTGCCGCAGCACAAGGAAAATTCTGGTCGGTGCTTGGTGTTTTTCACTCGTTCTTCAAGGAACATGATAGCATTGCAATAAGGGCACCGGACCATCTGCTCTAAGCGGTGTCTATGGCGCTCGATATTGGGGCCTGAGATTAATTCTTGTTGGAACCTCCTTCTAGCGGTGGGGATAGTATCCATACTATTGGAATATAGAATCACAAATTTTTATTAATATTTTATATGGGCTTTTTCACTTTTTCACTTATCACAATATTTTTTTACACTAAAATAATAATAAGGGGAGGTCGGACTTACTCTTTATCGGGGCATGTGTTTAGGTTATGTCCTGGGCGACTGCATATACTGCACTGCCGTTGCACAGGCCGACAGGGTGACTGTAGCCTAGAGAGCAATGATAATGATGTTAGATTAGAAACGCAATACGTGGTAGTTTATAAATTCAATAAAATGTGAACCAAGAGTAGCTCACCTTCGTCTTCGCTCAGGTCTTTCGCTTTCACCTGGGCCATCAAGGCTAATGCTTCGTCTGCGAGTCGTCACAGGCTCGGTTCGATTCTGCATGGGGTCACTAAAGATAACATTGCAAAAGAAATGGCAATTTAGGATTGAAAAAAAAAATGCATTGCTAAGGATTACATATCGAAACATCAAAATGGAGCTCACCCTTCATTATTTGGACATGTACTTAGAAGCAACTTGATGGTATAAGTTTGGTGTAGCCGAAGGGACCAATGTTTCCTGCGACCGGGAGAGCTCTAAGTTATAGTCTTCTTGAGTAGGACAAACACAGCTGCTCTGAGAAGAACAACCTGTGTTCATGCAAACAACACAGCCAAGCCTGACTGCAAGCTCAGCTCTCATTGCCTCTTCTTTACGTCTTCTTTCTTCCTGTTCTTTTTTTTCCCCTTCTCTCTCTTGTTCAAGGAATTCAAATAGGGCGCACTCGTCAATGGAGTCGTATATCATGTCATATAGCTTCTCTTCATTCTCCACATCCTCTGCTTGCCGGCCTGGTAACTCCTCTCTTATCTCCACAGGCTGTGCTCGGATGATACGTGGTACAGCCCGTCGAGATCGTCGTGCTCGGATGATGCATCGTACGCCTGAAGTGGAGCTGTCCGACGGAGGAACGGCTTTCGAGTGGTTCGAGTCACCATAAATAGAGCGAGGGCACTTGGTAGGCAACTGGCTTCTGGGAGGTGCAGCTGATGACGAACGTGTGGAACGTGTGGCAGCCAACGACGACGAACGTGTAAAACGTTTGGCAGGCATTTTTTTTTTTTTTTTTTTTTAGCAGATAAAATAGACGAAAGCAATAAAAACAAAGGTCTGAGGAAAATGAAAGCAAGGATTCAGAAATATAGGTGCGTTGAGGGATTAAGATTGTAAAACAAAGCGAACAGGTTTATTTTAAATCTACAGTGCATCGTAGACGCGATAGCGATACTTTTTTTGCATGCTGATTTAAAGTTTCAAAATAAGGGTCGTGTCACATGGGCAAAATAAATTTAATTAAGGGACAGCGAATCACATTTTGACTCTATCCGTAAAAAAACAACCGAAATCCAATCACTCTACACTGGATGCCCCATTCTCCAATTAAATGAGACTCTTGCCACCCACAGATTCTTGCTTACCCATGGATGAGTGAATGCTCCAAGCTGTTGCTTATTTATGTTTTGTTCATTTATGATGCTCCAAAAGTTGTCACATAATTTCGCAGTCACCTAATTTTTCTACCTGCTTTAATATATAGATTTATATATTAGTCAGAAAGGCTTCGGATCGAGTTGGGTAACCTGGCTGTCACGTCACGAGCCTTATTGCGGGACCTATTTTGGGACAAATGATATCTATTCAGCAACAAATGTCGATGCATGCGGAGCATGTTCTACCAAATTTGTCGTAAGGACATAATATCTTCTATAACGTAAACACCATTCAACGTGGTAGCATCCACCCAATCTGAAGAACTATGTATATAGAATAATAATAAATAGTTGCTGACTTTTTATGAATAGGCGTGCTTGTCAGCCTGAAACGACACAAATTGGCATTGATTACCAGGCTCGCACAATTCGAGCTCGAACTTTTTGATACGAGAAATGAGCTTGTGAGTGCCATGGACACAAAGGGAAGTGTAAAGAGAAGACTGAAACTTTCTTCATGACAACTGAAAATACAAATCGAATACATGATACTGAAGTACAAGGCATTTACCGCGAAACTTGGCTGTGTTAATTTGTTCTGAAAAAGATATCAGATCATTAAACTCACTTTAAATGCGCAAACCGGGCTTCATTACGACATCTGGGCTACATGGGCTCACAAAAGTGATGTTAGCCATGTACAGCCTTCCACATTTGAAAGTAGAAACACGTACACCAAATATTTTTATGTTGGCTTCAACTTTAATGAATTTGACCCACTTATTGACACATCGATTGGGCCGCTGATAAGGCGTAATCGACGTCTGCCAAAAAATGGCCCGTGTCTCTTCCCCTGTATGCTCATATTTATTTTTTTGCTTTGTATCTCTTCCTTTTTCTTCCATTCTCTTGTGTCTCATCTCCCTCACTGTGTGTTGGTTTTGTTCTTTGTCTCTTCCCTCTTGACCATTCTTACATCTTTCTTTTTATCTTTCCACAATGAGTGAATCCAACAAATACATTTTTTTCTTTTGTGCCAAAGGACTCGTGGAAAAAAAGAAAAAAGGTGAAGAAAAATTACTCCGTGAATATCATGATCATTTAAATCGTTATCACTTATCCACCCTGGTTGAGATCGAGTTAGAAAATACAACTGAACCTTTCCTCATTCATCGTAATCCCATGCCTTTCTCACCCTGTAAATTTTTTTTTTCAACCGTACATCTGTGTTACGTCACTACAAGACCTGTAAAGCCGCCGGTCCCTCCAGCCTCGAATGCCGATACATGTTCAGATAGCCATTCATTACAGGATAGTGTTAAAAAATATGAGGCAGTAATTAAGATGCTTTGTGAGAGGGTAGACGCTCTTGAAGAGAGGTATGACATCCTTTATTTGTTGTTAATAAGTTAATAGATTCTTTTTTTTTTTTTTTTTTTTTTGAGATTAAATAGAAAAGAAGTTCAATCGCCATGTCATGATAAATAGCGAACAAGAACAGTAAGTTCTTTGTTGTTATTTTAAATAAACTCCTTTCATAGAAAACGTTCGTTACTCCCTCAACTTCAAAACAATAACTTCCAATTCTCATCCTTTACTTCCTCATTACTCCATGGATATCTTGAAATATGTTGGAAAAAATCTTCCGACAAAAAAGCAGATCCCAAAATAAGGTGTACACTCTTTTTTGCCTACTTGATGGAGAACCGCTTTCTGTCCTCATTGATGCATCTGCGCTCTCCTGCACCAGCGTTTGCCGACTCAAAAGGTTTATAATGGCAAGAGCAAATGTCAAAAAAAGATTCATTGCACGGGCTCGTGACATTGACAAAGCTTGAGAACATTCATAAGTTGTTTGACAATTTTGAATCGTTGGCAATGCTTTTCGAATCAACAGAAATGAATCGAAAGAGACCACTCGATCATGACAGTGAGAATGACAATACTGCCGAGAGTAAACAACGACTACGGCGTTCTAAAAGAACATTGGCAAGACATTTACGAAAAACCCGTTGAATAAAAAATCGATATTTATTTCTTTATGATTTATTTTCTATATTTTCTATATCTATATTTTTATATCTTTATATTTTTATATTATCATGTTTTTATATTTTTATATTTTATACTCGGAGATCTTTATCTTCAATACTGATGTCAACACTCACCTTATATTAGGATAAAAGAGATAGAAGGAAAGATATTATTGCTGTTGCATTTCTCGCCTTTTATACATCGTTTTTAATTGTTTTATCCATTTTAAAATAAACTTTATCCGATTTTATTTTGAATTGTTCCAATCACTAAAAAAAATTATCTAAAGTTAAGTTAAAAAGTTAACCGAAAAGGGCGGAGAAATTTATCCGAATGTTTACAAATTTTGTCCAACCATGCAGTTCATTTTATCCAGATGGTCATGCGGAAATAGCCATGGGACCTTGTGATATTATCGGCGCGTCCTGGAAATTATCAACCGCGTTGGATTTTTTTCTTCGAATTCAAAAAAAAAAAAAAAAAAAAAGGTCGCCCATTTTTTTTTTTTTTTTGATGTAAGACGCGTCGCGAAGATCATGGCGCGTTGGCGCGTTGACACATTGGTACCACGCTAACATGCAATGATGAGTCCATGTATAAAAGGAATTGAGGTTTAAAGAAAAATAAAAAGACAAAAGTTACCACCGCTTGTATCCTTCAACTGATATCGCTTCAACACTCTTAATCACCTAATTCAAATTCACTATGGCACTTACCAAGAATCAACCTGAAATCATCAACTTGGTTGACACCGATGACGACGAGCTCTACAAAGACCTCGAGGCTCAGAAAGCCGCCTTGAAGTGGGATGACAGTTCTAATGTATGTGGTCTTGGTGGTTCTTTTGTAACTTGTTCCATCTTCTTGGCTATAAACATTGGTTCCTCTATTTTGCAATATCCATAGGCTATTGAGATCAAAGCCGAGGGGGGAGGCTGTGACAGCGCCATCCCTCAGCCCCGCGCACAAGACTCCGGGAATAAAAGTGACTCTTCCAAACCTCATCTCCAAAATCTATATCGTCATGGTATTTCGTTCGTCCATGTAGCCTCCTCGTCGCGGTCTCGCCCTCGTCGGATGATTGTAGAGGAAGAGAGCGATGAAGAGGCAGACCCGTACAACCCTTGGACGCCCCCCATGTATACTGGCCACGAGCTTGATTTCGATGCACCTGCCCTGGGTGCGCCTGCTGCTGAAACCTCTGTCATTGACTCGCCTATCATTAGTGAGCCTGTTGGCAGAAACAATAACAAAGAAAAAGGGCCAAAAATGACCTGCATATATTCGCAGCTCCAATTCGATGAGGATGAGCTAGAAAGAGAGCGCAATCCGGCACCTGAGGCTTTTTTTGATCAAGACGAAAATGAGTATGAGGAGCCAAGCCTGAGAGATATGTGTCGTAAAAGGAAACGCAATTCCCCTACCACATATTCTAAGATTACAGAAGAGGCTTCTCAAAGGCTGATTGAGTACTGGACAGTACACATGTGTACAGTAGCTGAAGCGGCTAGGGCCGTTCACATGCATCCAAGGACCGCCTGGAGGTAATAATTAAGTTTAAAGACTACTTGTGCTAAATGATATCTCGGGATATTGTTACCAATTATGTTTACCTGGGAGTTTGTTATAGATATATTAATCATTACAGGGAAACAGGCAAGCTCCCTTCCAAGAAGCGTCGAGTGGCTCCGAAATTGGCAGCGAGACACTGCCAGTACTTAGAGGATTTCTTAGACGAAAAACCTCTTTCGACGCTCATGGAAGTACACAAGGCTCTCCACGACGAATTCCCTGAAGTCCAAGTGTCTCTTGCCACGGTTTTCAATTATGTCACAAATATGTGTGAGTACACACTCAAGCGGATCAGAAAGGTCTCTGACAAGCGAAATGATCCCGCTGTACTTACAGCGAGAGAGAGATTTGCTGAAGAGATGCAAAACCCCACAAACCACGAGAAGTTTGAGAAAAAGACCATTTTCATTGACGAAGCGGGGTTTAACCTGCATCTGATCCGAGATTATGGATGGTCCCGTAAAGGAAAGCCCGTCAACGTTGTGCGTCCTACCGTACGTGGTAGAAATGTTAGCGTTGTAGGTGCAATTTCATCGACTGGGATCATCTGTATGTCAGTGACTACAGTAGACCTTGATGCGAATGAAGAGCCGGTGGCGGAGGATGATCAAGATGAGGTCCCGAACAACAACGGCCGTGGTCGTGGCCGGGGGGGGCGTGGCCGTGGTCGTAGTCGTGGTAGAAATGCAGCACGTCCTCCGCAGGTATCCGAGGATGGTATAGTTGGTTGCTCAACAACCGGGGCCTATTTTAGGGACTTCATTTATGAGGTTCTTGAGATATTGGAGGCTAAAGAGATGCATGGATATACTTTTCTAATGGATAATGCGCGTATTCACAAGTCTCCACTGGTTAGAGAACTCATAGAAGAAGCAGGCCATTTTTGTGAATATCTTCCTCCTTACTCACCATTCCTGAATCCAATCGAGGAATGCTGGTCGAAGGTCAAGAACAGTTTCAAGAGAAGTCGCCTTGAGGCGAACGAAACCATGCGCACTAGGTTCCAAGACGCATTCAGGTCGATATCCCGAAAGGATTGTCAAGGTTGGATTCATCATGCAACTACCTTTTTTCCAAGGTGTCTCAACAGAGAGATCAATCTATAGACCTATAAATAGTACAGTTATGGTGAAAAAAAAGAAACGATAATGGATAGGATAATATGCATGTCAATGTTGTTAATAAAGCCACGACGTTTGGATAATTGTGATAATCAATTCGGTTATCACGTTTGGAATAATGGATAATATTTCAGACACATTCGGATAACTAATAGGATAATTTTATTAGCTTAAATTGGATAAAGCTTATTTCCCCATCGGAGCAATGCAAATTGAAAATGGATAAATGTTTTTTTAAGATCGTATTGATTTTAGTATTTCAGTACCAGTATCACATACTAGTACTGCGTACTAAAATAACGAAAATTTAGTATGACATACTCGTACTGCGTACCAAAATGCCATTTTTTTTCCACAAACAATCAATCAAGCATGCACTGATTCTAAGCACTCACATTAAAGATACATTGATACTAAAAACACGCCCGCACAAATCATATGTAGTGATACTACTACTTGTTTTATGCAATACTATTATTCTCCAATAGTTCCACTCTTTGCAGATGCTGTGATCGTGTTGCCCGCACTCCCAGTTGCCGCATGGCCACATAGTACTGCTCTTGAGGCAGCTTAGTGAGGCAAGTCCGAAGAAAGTGGTAGGACCTTGTAATAAACCACCCTTTCTTGATGTTACTTGGGACCTTGACTACAATTCTTTTAGCTTGCCTCTCCAGCTGACTACTGCAGCCCTCACATGTTGGCAACCTTCCCTTATTGGTAACGACGTCGGTGAGAACACTGAATGGATAGTTTTGCTGTGCTTTCTGTGGCTGCTTAATACAATCCACCTTTGGATCTTCTTTAGAGCTTCCGTGGCTCTCAATTGAATCCTCTTCAGAGCTTCCGTGGCTGGCATCAACATGTGGCGCCTCAGTTCTGCTCTTTTCAAAGAGGACAATAAAATATTCAACCTCATTTTGCATTGGATTTGTGCGAGCCACATTTTAGTATCATGGAAAGAAGATCTTAGTATCACTTTCCATGGGGTTTGTGCGGGTAAGTTTTAGGTTAGTATCACTTGCATGTTTATTTATGAATGTCAACTCTTGTGTTAGTATCACTTGCATCTTTGTTTATGAATGTCTAGTATCACTTCTATGTGCTCTCAAAAAAAAAAATGGACGCTCGGGGCGGGGATGGAAATAATACTAATATGCATTTACGGGGTTCATCTCCCAAAGTGCCTGAGTGCTCCATATACGCATATTCGCGTTCTCAGGATCCATAGAAAACCAGATACTCTATAGTAAAGTCCCTCATTTCGGCCCCAAACGTGTTGAAACTTCTAGAGTCGATAAAGCAACCGAAAATATATCTTTCAAAACAGGAAATTGTATTTTTGGGTAAAAATTGAAAATGTTTATATTCAAAAGTTTGAGAACTAGGGCATCTTGAAGTCAAGGTTTCTACGGAAATTGTCTAGCTTTTAGACAAAATATTGCAGAACCATCAGAATATTTCCAAAACTGACCAAACTTTCCAAAAAGTAAGAATATGTAGTGCATAATATAATGTACTAAGGGACCATACGTGTTCTTATAAAAGGAATCCGAAGTTCCTTAATGAATAAAACCGAAAAATCCCTAAAAAATGATATATTTCTCTCTTCAGCTATAAGTAAAGTCTATGAAAAATGCTTGGATTTTGGAAAACTAAGACTCTATACAAAGCTATGTAACGTATCTATCATATACTATGTGGAAAAGCGCTTTGATGTATTTTTGAGGGAAAGGCAGACACTTTGGCTTGACATTGAACCTCATTTCGACCATTTTATAACCTTTAAACGGCAATAATTCCATAAATACTTCAAGGATTAAGACCAAAAAATCCTTGCTTTGTAAGTACCAAAGTCTTATATCCCCCGATACCTCATCCATTTTTTCTATAATCGATATACATCCAGCAATAGCCTATTTTACTATTTGCGATAATCTAGCTGTCGAAGTCTTGTAAGTCCATTTTTTTACATTAGTTTTGTGCGGCAAACTTAATTTCTAATTTTAGACCAGGAGAGAAAAGTGGTTTTTTGTATTATTTGCAGCTTGTTGCTCTTTTTTGTTGGTCCTTGAAAAATATTTAGACAGTAGTTATCAGAAGCTAAGATAAGTGAGAATAAGATGTGGGTCCACACACCACATCCATGGGGTATTTATTCATTTTCTGGTAGAGAGACTCGTACCAAGTAACTACATATCTATCTAGAAGCGACATGGGATTATTCAGGAACCATGTCGGTGTTTTGTCGCGTCTCTAGTGACGCGTTATTATTATTATACTTTTCTTAGC